AAAGATAGATAAGAACAATATTAGGTAAATGAATAACAAAGTGAAAAAAATTCTGTGTAATAGATTTCATTCTCAAGGGCTTTCAGACTAAAGTAATGTTTTTTTGATGGAATTATATATGCATAGGAGATGATATAAAAATGCCAAAGCGTTAGTTATAATTATGCACTGACAAGAAATGCTGAAGATATTTGTATGCTGAAATTTTAAATTTGATGATGAAAAAGGCCCCAATCTTGATAAAGTTTTGTCAAAATGTTTATGTTACTAAGAGGAAAGCCCAAAACATATTTTATTAATTTTTTTTTTTTTTTTTTTAATCCTTTCTAATATGTTCAAAATTTTGGTTAAGAATCCTGTTTTTCTTGCATCAGTAGGTAGGCCAAAGATTAGTGTTAGGAAATTTAGCATCTTTTTTTGTGATAAAAAAAAAAAAAAAAAAAAAACAAAAAAAACATTTTGAAATTCTTGTAAAAATCAAATAATTCTTGGATTTTAAAGAAATTTTCAGGACTTATTCACAATTTTTTTTAACATGTTACTCCAACTTAATTTTATGAAATATCAAGAAATTAAAAATTCCAGTCTCTTCATATTTATATTAGATAAAAGCAGGACTCCTTGGAGTATTTAAATCATCAATTTGTTTTTGTCAAACAGAAACATCATTTACTAAAATCTGTTCTGAATTGTAAAATAAAGGCATTAAAACTATTACATTATTTAATTAGAAAATTTTTAATTGCTTTTATAAATAAGATATATTAAGGACACTATTGTATTAAGAAAATTTTTATTTCAATGAACAATGAATATTTACAAAAATGGTTTTCATTTTTTCTTTTAATTTTAATTTGAATAATTTATTAGGCTTTAAATCTTAAAATTCTGTCTTAATTTCACCCTTTTATATATTACTATTAAGTAAAAACTATATTTACTAATCATAAATTGAAAAGCTTAGTACAAAATCAAACACAATTAATTTTTAAACGAAGTTGAAATTTTCTATATGTATAAACATGCCAATTTTCTTTTTTAAATACAGGCAACCATTATCAGAAAATAACAACTATACTAAATTTAAAGCCAAATTTTTAAAAATTCAATAAAACAGATTACAGAGAATATTTTCTTAATGTTTCAAGATCAATGAGTACTTAAAAATTATATAAAAATGGTGCTCACATCATTTTCTTTAATTACGTTTTACAGATAAAGTCCCTATAGGACAACATTAGATCTGTAATCATGCTGTCAACATGTAAACACCTTATATAAACAAAACCAAAAAAAAATTATAATATTAAAAAATAATTTCTGTGATATTTTATAGTTAAATTGAATAATAGTTGTTTCAATTTAGATTAATTATACTTTAAAATCAGTTAATATTCCTCAAAGTTTCAAAAAGAGTATATTTTATTTTTGGAAGAATTTTTTAATGAAGAGAATTACATTGTGACTAAAAAAAAGTGGTTAATCAGCTATTTTAGGAATAAAAAAAAAAAAAATTCCTTTCAGCCAACTTAAATTAGTTTTGAAATTCAGCAAAGTATTTTACTTATTGGAAATATTAAATCAACTTGAAATTAAAATTGCTGTATCTCAAGTTCAAGATAACAGAGAAATAAATAAGGAAGACAAACTCATAGATAAGTAATGAAATAGGTTTACTACATGAAGGTACAATTAGCAATTGACCTAATGCTAACTCTCCCAACTCCACTTATTTACCTAAATGGACGATTCCATCCTATATGACAAAAACTGAAATAAAATCTTCAAGAAAGATTTTCATTTTTTTTTAAAATTAATTCTAAACCTTTAGATATCAGGTTTTTGGGGGAGGTCCCTAATTAACATTGATCCTAGCAAGGGAGCATAAAGAGAGAATGGATATGCCAATTTGAGACAAAAGTGCTGCCTATCCATACATAAATAATCCTGTGAGTTATTTTTTTTTTTTTAACAGATAATATGCTAATAATAGACAAAAACGAAACATCTCATCTCAAATTTTCAGCCCAAATCCGAATAACCTTATTAATATATAATTAGAAGAAAGTGTCTTAAAAAAAAGAAAAGATTGTAGAGTTAACATAATCCAGTTACTGGATTCTTTTCTGCAAGAGTACAAGAGAAAGTGAGTAGTATGGGGGTGGCACCCTGATGTGCTAAACTGATAAAGATCTGAACATTGTTGAAGAAAGTTCTTGCTGTAAGATCAGAAAGGTATTAGCAAACCAAGAGATACCTGTGCATCAGCCAGAGTGAGATACTATGCTCCTCTCTCTCTCTTAATAGTTTTAACAGATTTATACTTCCTTCTCTTCCTTAGTAAATACAGGTTCTGCCAAAAGGAGGAGGTATTCCCCCCCCCACACACACACTAAAAGATACATAATTTATATTTTAAAGCAAACATTTTCATAACTGGAAATTAGATCATTTTAAGATACACTTATACGTTGGAGATAATGTAGGTTCTATTCTAGGCCATTACAAATGTTCAAGAAAATAAAGAGAGTCAATTTTTTGGTTTCCCAGAGCATAAAAAAAGTTACGCTTACACATTATAGTCTATGCAATAACACTGTGTGTGTGTATATATATATATATATATATATATTATATATATATATAAAATGGAATTCCCTAAAATCAGAAATGGAATTAAGGAAACATGAAATAGAAAATCCTCTCTCTCATATATATATATATATATATATATATATATATATATATATATATCAGCCCAATTCCGAATTTCTGATTTTAGGGAATTCCATTTTTTTTCCATTTTCAATATAGAATTCTGTTTTTGCTTCATTATAAAACTTAGTGAGAAAGTGTAACAAATATATATACATGTTATTAAAACAAGAAAATTAAAAAAAAAAAATAAATAAATAAATAATTTGTAAATTTGGCTTTCTGAAATGACAAACTGCACCCCCACCTCCATCACCATGTTGGATAGGAAAAAGACAGGATAAAACAAAAAGAATACTCCTGTGGCTATGTCCCAAGATCCTTGCCATTGCACAATATGTGGACTTATATGCAGGCCACAAGCAGGACTGAAGTGTCACATATGACACAAACACAAAAGTGAATGAGGCTGTTATACCCTCATATGTCAAAAACAACAAGAGAGCCCATCATCATCATGTGTGTGTGTGTGTGTGTGTGTATATATATATATATATATATATATATATATATAATAAAAAGGCTTAAACACTAATATTCCATGGTCATAATTTATTCCATTGGAATCATAAAAATACAATCCAATTCATCAGACCTACAAAAGGCTTAAACACTCAAAATTCAAAAAGAAAACAGAAAAGAACAACTCTCTCTCCCCACCACTTCTTTCCTTTTCTCTCCCTCCCTCTTATTCTGATCTTTAACATTAGATCGTCTATGGTGTGTGTATGTCACCACGAAATGTATCTTTAATGTATTAGACATCCGACAACATTCATATTTCCCCTTTCCACTCACCTCTAATAAAAAAAACCCTCTCTGTTAAGTTTTAATCTCCCACCTTCTCTCATATGTTACCCCTCTCTTTAACTCTAACATTTGTCCCACACTCTCATACTTACACTTTCTCTAAATTCTATTTTTATTTCCGGAGTTGTTCTTTTCTGTTTTCTTTTTGAATTTGTAGGTCTGATGAATTGGATCGTATTTACGATTCCAATGGAATAAATTATGACCATGGTATATTAGTGTTTAAGCCTTTTTATTATATCCTTACTCTGTCCTGGACATTGAGTTCTACCTGGATTCTATCCTCTCGGAATTTTTTATTCAAAAAATATACATGTATATGTATGCACCTATGTATATATATTTATATATTTTGCATATGTATGTGTATATTTACCACTATATATATATATATATATATATAAAAGAGATACTTAAAAATATAACATATAAAAAGAGATACTTAAGATGCTGCTTTTTTGTGACTTAAAATTTCAAATGCTGTTTATTTGTCAGCAGTCACACAATCATGTGTTTCAAAAAGACACTCAATTCTGTCAAATTTGCTGAACTATTTATTTCTCCGACTTGAAGGAGTTATCATGAAATTAACAGTAATGCCCAAAAGTATATAAAAACCAGGATTTTAAACACTTTAAAGATAATTTTTAAAAACATGTTTATATCAGACTTTGACATGACTATCTGACAGCGAGAATAGTTTTAAAAATAGTATTGCTACCAAAAAGTGACAAAGTGAGGAAATACAGTTTGTAGAATCAAAGAACAATATGTGCCAAAAAACAAAATGAGGACTACCTGAGTAAATCTTTTGAAAACAATTAAAAATATCCAATTTAATGAGAGGGTTTAATGTTCATCTGTTCAATACAAAGACTTACCCACTTGTTGATACAGTATTCTTTGACATTTTGGCTTTATTTTACTATTTTAAAACATTCTGTGTAACAGAACAAATCAGCAGGAAAGAACAACAAATGACCAATTGATCATCTGAATAACTTTATGTCACTTCCAAGTTTAGCTGCTTTTGTTTTTGGTATGCCAATATGTAGATACTATTTTTCCAAGAATCTATGTGTGATATAATCATGTCTTGTGCACCAAGAAATTCCAAATGTCAGGCCTGCAATAGACTTCAGAAGGGACCAATAGTTCAAATGTCATTCAAAACACCTGACAGGAAGTTAGAGCATACACGTCATGTCTACAAGGATAGATAGATAATGAACATGGTTGGATGACTCCATCCATCTATCCACCCACCCAGATGAAATTTGTCACTTAGCTGATTGAGGTCATCTTCACAACCATGACTAGTTTCATAGATGGACCCTACAACAATAGCTCCGTCCACTCGCCAGGAAGGGTATTTGCACATAAGAGAATATAACAAACCCAACTGAAATTGAAATTCCGTTCCACCGAGTAACAATTCCAAGCCATTATCCATTACACCACCCACACATCTAAGCTCACAGTACCTGGTATTTCCAAGTGGTCATCTATCTAGGTACTAACCAGGCTCAACATTGCTTAACTTCGGTGATTGCACAGAAACCCGTGTTTCAACACTATATGACCTATAAGCATTAAATAGATGGGTAGACTAGAATATCATGTTATGTTAGGACAACTAGTCTAGGAGAATGACAACACTGTTCAAAAAAATAGTGGGAAACCAATTCACTATATCTCCTAAGAAGTCATGGAAATTCACAAAGGCTAAAGAAAAGGAAGTTGTGGAGAGCCACGATGTCATAAAATGTTTCAGAATACCACTGAAATTTAGAAAGAGAGAAAAAAAAAGCTATTATATTTCAACAAATATTTTCATTCATCCTTCTTGATTTTACCACCATTTCAACGGATACATTCTTTGGCCTTCCTCAAGTGCAGAATTCCTCCAGCTAGAGGGAGGTTACAATAAATAGCTCAAGATCTGACCAACAGATTCCTGATGGTAGAATTATTTTCAGAGTTCTTCCATAAGCAGTGTCCTTTCAGGACATGAAAGATCATGGTCCTTCACAACTTACTATTCTTTGCAGCTCTTAGCAATGTTTGGTCTCTTTACTATGCTTCCCACTCCTTTTTCGGTCACCCATTTAGACAAGTTTTTTTTTTTTTAGATAGATTACTCAGTTTCTCTATCACTCTTGTCTAGATAGATTACTCAGTTTCTCTATCACTCTTGTCTTGTGAGTGTCAAATTTTCCAATCTCTTTCCTTATTGAGAGAGACCACATAGAATTATTTATACATGTATTAAACTGACCATAATGAACAAATAAATAAAACATTATTGCCTTAAGAATTTAGTGAATTTTTTCCTAAGGCTTCCAAATATTTCACGTAACAGTCCAGTCTTTTCTTTGTTTCTAACAAAATTTTTCTGTCTCTTAATATTCTGCTTAGTTTTAGAATGCATCTTTGGCCATAAGAAATCACAATAGTGAAAATATCTTCCATGATTACAGTAACAGAAAGTCACTGGTACTTTGTTGCAATAATTCCTTTTACAATATGATAGCAATTTTATTAATAACAAAGAAAAGAGTACTGAAGAGTTATGTAATATCAGTCCTCCTATATGGCAGTGAAGTCAGGACAATCTCCTCATAGATTAAGATGATTAAGCAACAGAAATGTGGTTCTACAGAAGGATAATGAGAATACCACAGACTGAACATGTGAGCAACGAAAAAGTCTTAGAGACAATAGAAACAAAAAGGACACGTATACTTAACATCAGAAAGAGAGAGTTGAAACTTTTGGGGTACATGAGGATAGAGGGCTTGGAAAATTTGATACTCACAAGACAAATTGAAGACAAGAAGGACAGAGGAAAACAATGCATAATCTATCTAACGAGCTTGAGTAAATGAATGGTGAAACAAGGTTTAGGAGAGATAAAAAAATTTTACTAAGAACTACAAAGGACAAGAAATTGTAGAGAGCCATAATCGTCATGTCCTAAAGAGACATGATACATAGAAGTAATAATGTCATTTGAGTAAACATTATTATAGAGTCAAGCTAGTTAAGAAGAAACTCTGAGGTCAAGTTATAGCCAATATTAGAGATAAGATTATCCAATAGAACTATTTTTCTTCCAGTTTTCACTGTGAAATTAGCAGTACATTAAAGCCATGTCAAAATTTGTTTAGAATTTACGTTAAAAAATAGAAAAATTAGATTCAGTCATCAAATTCCACTTTTAAGCATTAATGTTACCAGTGATTTTCACATTACAATCCTGTTATGAATTTTTCCTTTCTTGCAACAAGACTAGTACCATCAGCAGTGGGTACTACTGATTTTTCTGTAAAAAGGGAGGAGTGTGTCCCCTCTAAGAATGTCTTGGAGGTTTTCATGAGTTTTCTAGCAGAACACTAATTATGTTTAAATGAACAACTTTTTCAATTCATATGCCTTGTATTTATTCATATGCCCGATATTCATTCACATGCTAAAATGAACAATGGAAATTTTGGCATCTTACTTGCTAAGTATGGTTTTAGTGTTGTTTGCTCTGTAAACATGTTAGATTAAAAGTTTGGATGAATTTGGATGAATTAATAAATCCTAACCATAATATTTAAGGTTATATAAGGAGCTTGTATTAAAATCATTTCCAATGCCGGCCTATAGTGAAATCATTTCTAATGCATTCCATAAAGAGCTAGTATTCAAATAATTTATAATGCATTTTTATAGTAAAATCATTTTCAATGAATTTCTATAAATGCTTTTAGTATTTGCTATGTCACTAGATATGGAATCATTAGAGAGAATGAAAGCTTTAATATATTTGTTTCATATATCCTAGCTATATCATGGATTCAAACTAATTTATTATAAAACTTGATTTTATAGAATTTTTATTATTAAACTATAAAATTGTTCAGATGTGCAACCAACTTAGAACTTTAATTAATGGAAGAATTCTAAAGACGGCTTGAAAGAATAAAGTTTAACAACATTAGAAATCAAGAGACCAAGATGACTTAAAAGAAATGTTTAAAATCATTGCTGTTGTATAGTTAGCTCTAAATGTGTTCTTTACTAAAAGAAGATACAGTGGCCTAAAAGGTCATGAACATGTTGTTGATATAAATGCTTGTCAAATAAATATCAAGAGTTATATTTTTCAGTAATTACATTGTTTGACAGCATTTCCACTTCTTTCAGCATAGTTGTAAAAATCTAACAACTCGACCGATCTGGAACCCAGCTAAAATGGCTTACAAGACTAACTATTTGTTGGGAAGAGTAAATGTTTTGAGATTTGAGCTTTCAGTTTGAGAGGTTCATATGAACGAAGGTTAGGAGTTGCACCCTTAAAGCAATCATACAATTGAAATAGCAATGGTTGACTCACTAAAGTGACAAATTTCTTTAAGTCACCTAGACAAATAAAGGCACCTAGCAACACATGCCATGCACTGGCAATGCTTCAAGACATTAGTCTTTTCTCGACAGGTGTAGGATCATGATATTTTCCCCGTTTTGGTGTAATTTAAAGTTCAGATCAGATTCTAAGACTATGTTAAATATAAGGTATGAATTATCATAGTGCCTGTCATTACTGGCAAGAAAAAAAAAAAAAAAAAATCTTACAATTTTGAATGGCTCTTGTGCCTTCTATTGGGTGAACATTTAGAAAGAAAAAAAAAAGAAAAACAATGAGAATTTTTTTTCATTCTCAAAATAAGTCACTTTTAAATTAATTGCAATTGTTTAATGATTAATCCTTTTTCTTCTAGAATTTATTAAATTATAAAAATGATTTTTTTTCCATTTGCATACAGTTATTTCATTCATTTTTGAATTTGTAAAAAATAAAATTATTTTCTTACTACACAGGACAGTGCAGCTAGCCAGATTTATCATTTATAATTTAATTTTATTAATTCTATTTCTAAAAAAAGAAAAATTTCGGACAACTACATTTGTTCTAGGTTACTTAACTCTGTATATTCAAATTAGGACTGATCAACCATGTTTTAAGATCAACTTGCCCGGTTACCCACCAGACACAGGTTTGTTTATTGTACTAACCTGGTTTTAAATAAATTAATATAGCTATTGCCAGAAATCATAGTTTAATTTAAAATAGTCATCTTAAGGAAATTATCTACCAAGGGTCCAAGAGATTAATGACTTACCCATTTTTCAAACCCAATATATCAATAGGGAAACTTTAGTGGATTATTCTTGCATTCTTACATTAAGAATGGAATTTAAAAAATGGAATTAAAAAAAAAAAGAAACTCAGGGTGACTCTCTAGTCTGTAATCTAGCCAACACTACTAAAGAACTGTGTGTCCGTCTTGATGGAACAAAATTAAAAATATATTTTTAAACGGTTGTTCCGAGTGAAAAAAAAAAAGAGAAAAAAAAAAAAAACATTTTTTTGTTTTTGATTTTTTTTCTCTTAAGTTAAACTGATTTTTAAAATAGCAATAAAATTTTTAAAAAAGTTAATTCGAGCCCCCCCCCTACACACATGGGAAAATATTTTTTTTCGAAAACGAAGCAACAATGTTCTGTTTTTTTTTGTTTGTTTTTCAGATAAATATTCATTCTAAAAAGCTATACCGGATTAAAAACACTAATTTGGAAGAAAGGAAGAAAAAACTCCCACTTGTCAGCAGTACGTTTTATGACAAAATGATCATATGATCAAACATATCCTGCCACATGTTTGATGCTAAATGTCTAGTCTACGATAATGGAGGCGCGACTATCGTATAATAGAAACAGCATTTTTGCGTAGTTTGTGCCCGTGTTTTTTTCTTTTAATTAAAAACTCAGAACTGAATTTAAATTTCTAGAATCCTCCAAAAAGAAGTTACACATATTCTTGATAGAAAGTTTTTTTTACCAACGTAAACTTATGAAGTAAAAATTGAATAAATCTTGTTTTAAAACTAAGGTTTCAAACATGGCAAGTTAACGCAAAATAATAGTAATCAGTCTTAAAAGATAAATTGTCCATTTTTATCTAATTATTAATGCTATTTTTTTAATTAAAACGAAAAAAAGAGAATGAGTTACTTTTTTTTTTTTACTGATGTATATTTGCAAGTTGAAAGGCACACATTCAAATTATGAGGGTTCTTAAACAACAAGCATGTTCTTTTGTTGCCCTTCTTATCTTACAAGTATTTTAAAAAGGTTAAAAAAAAAATATTTTTTAATTTTTGCCTACATCCCACGTGGCAGTGGTGATCAAATATTTTTTTTAATTAAGCTATGACATGTTACTGGCTCAAATCATCTTGAATAGACATTTTGTAAAGTTTTGCTACAAACAATTAAATTTTCCGATAAAATCCAAATGTAAAACATTTTTTAAATAGTAAAAGAATTAAAAAAAAAAGAAAAAGAATTAAGACAAAAAAAAATTATAAATAAACAGATAACTTATTAAATACAAAAATGCAATCTTTGATACGAAACTAAAAGAAGCTAACTTTTCTTTTTGCAACCAACAATTCCTCGTTGTATACTTTGGTCTGTAATATAGCAGAAAAATGACATTCAAAAAATATGCTTTGTTTATTTAATAAAATACAATATTTTCCAGAAATAATTAACAGAAACACTGATTTGATTAACGATTAAATGACTGATTTTATATAAAAATTTTTAAATTATAATAAAATTTTTAAAAAAAATGGTGTTTTATCATGAGACAAGTGAATGAGAGTGACAAAGGCGGCAAAAGAAAAAAAATGTAAACATTTCAATTTTTTCAGTGGTAAGCAAAAACAAAAAAAAAAAACGTTTAATAAAAAATTAAAAAAACTTTTAATATGAGGCAAGGTTTTGACCTTTTAAATTGTTCACGTGTTAAAAAATATTTTTTTTAAAAAGTCGGAAATTAGAATTGAACTCAAACATGGTGCCAACATCAGTCTTATAAATAATAAAAAAAATACATTCACAAAACAACAAAATTAGTGTAAAAATATCTTTAGTTTAAAATATTACTTTCTAAAACAATATTGTTGAAGTTATAAAATTATTTTTAGAAAATAGTTTATTCTTCAATCGAATAGTAAGTATTTGAAATTCAAATCAAGAATTTTTATACCAAAAATTAAAATAAATTTTAGAAAAAAAAGAGGAAATAAATTTTTAACACATTCAAAATTAGATAAAAAAAACACTTTAATTTTTGTAAGTGTATTCAATTCAATCTGAATGTTTTTATTTTTATTATGACCACAAAAATATTCAAGAAATTTATATCTTTACACTTTTAGCTACAAGATGACTTAAAAGTTAAATGACTTTTTACTTTTATTAGTTTTTTATGCTATAAATTAAAAAAGAGAAAAAAAAACTAAAAGAATTTTTTATGTCATTTAAAAACGTTCATTAATTTTTCTAATTATTGAAAAAAACGAAATAAAATAACATTTTTTTTATTCTTTCTTCTAAGAGACTCAGTCGAAGCTGTAAAAAATTATAAAAATTAATAATTTAAATAAAGAGATACTTAGTAAAAACTAATCTAAAAATTGTTATTTTTCTTAAGATTAAAAAAAATAATCATAAATAAGTGACAGTTCAACAAACTGTCTTTTAAAGAGATCAATTTTTAAAAGTTTTGAATTATTTAATAAGAGAAAAACATGAAATAATATAAAAGAAAAAGATTGCTTCAACTTAAAAGGCTTATAATCTTTGGCTGACAAACTCTTCAACAATAAGTAAATATGTCTTTCAATAAAAATAAAAAGATCAAAGTAATTTTTACCTTTAAAAAGGCTGTTGTCATATCAGAGGATTTTTAGTACAAATAACGTCAGATTTATGATTACTGCTACTGCAACTACCAACGGCTATAAAGTGAGGGACCAATTTTATTTTGCCTCCCCCCACCCGTCTGGTAACTTACTTTTAGGATTATTATTTTAGATTTGTGAAGTTTAATAATGTTTTTTTTTTTCTATAAAAAAAAAAAAAAAATTACAAAAAAAATTGATTAATTTAAAACTTTTATGCAATAACAGTGAAAAAGTAGGAAGAGTGATTTTAAGTGTAGAATGACAAACTTACAGTAATAAACTAAACAGTACAACTATAAAAAAAACTAAAACTTACCCATGGCATATTTTTTTTTTTTTTTTTTTTAATTGTTTTATATAATTAAAAAAATTAACATAATCAGCAATTGTAATTATGGGTGACGGATATGGATTTTTAAAAATACATATATTTTTTAATTTTTTAAACACAAACACACAATTTTACCAAAAAAAAAAAAAAAAAAAAAAAAAAAAAATTCATAAAAAAAAGAAAATAATGGTAAAATTAAAAAAAAAAAAAGCAAAAAAAAAGCGAAGCATTAAACAAGTATGGTTCATGTGATCATGCTGTCATAAAACGTTTCGCAGAAAAGATTTAAGACTAAGAAGTTTAAAAAGCTGTCTCCTCCTAGGTTGTATTTTTTTTTTAAATTCGTTTAGTTTACGTTTTTACCTGTTTAAATAAGTCTCAGATTTCGTATTCTCTACACAAACAGGATTTAACAGAGCCAAAATGACTCGATTCTTATTATAAGAACCGTTCACAATATGATGCACTTAAAAATTAGTCTCTCTACACATTTGTTATTGATTTGGAAAGAACCCCGATTTTGTGACCAACACGTTTTACTTACTAAAAGTATAAATTCGATTAAGAAAAAAGTATGCTGATAAATATTTATTTTTCATAACACAAAATTATTTAAAAAAAAAAAAAACCCAAAAAAACGTGTACACTTTTTTTATGGTCACAGATTTTAAAAGTACCGAAATGTTTGTGTTAGTTTTTTTTTTTTTTTTTTATAACTGACGGTAGCTGTTCTTTGAAGAGAGGAACTATCACTCTGTGCTACCTGTAAGAACAGGTGACAAAATCGTTTTAAAATTAAACATGAATAAACTAAAAGTAAAAAAAAACAAAGGATTTTTGAGCTGCATATGTGAAAAAGAAAAATATAAACGATTAGTCCTCCTGAGAAATTCGTCAACCAATTTTCTTATCCAAAAAAGTAAGTGGATAAATAATTAAAAAAAATAATGTGAAAAAAAAAAAATACGAGAGAACATTGTTTCCGCTTTTAGTTGGAAATCCCAGCAAAATTCAATAAAATTTATTATTTGCTATTCGTCAAATTATGGTTCAACAGGAAATTTAAATACTTCTCCAGTAATTTCTGTGGTTAAATTCACATATTTTGGTAACTAACACTTAAATAGTCACATTTCTGAGCCATGACAGAGTGGGTGTTTTGTTTTCAAACATTAAGTTTACTAACAGTTAAAAATGATTAACTTAGGATGCCGTACCCTCGGGCCTTCCACAAGTGCTTGGCCGGAGGGTACATCAGTAGAAAAGGTTACGATGGTGAAGGAAAAAAAAGTGTTACGAAAAAAATTTCGCCCAAACAATCTGAAATGCAAGGATTTTAGTAGAAAAATTTCCATAAACTAAAAATATTTCTTGTCTGAAACTAAGTCTTTGCACTAAAAAAAAAAAAAAAAATTCTTGCTGCTTGATTTTGCAAAAAGCAGAATTGTAAACAAACTGGTTACAATACTTTTTGACGCCTAAAAAAAAAAAAAAAAAAGAATTAGTGAATAAAAAAAAAAATAAAAGCAATTTTGTTTTTTTAATTTAAAAAAATCATTAAATGTCAAATTATTTGAATAAAATAAAAGATCGCTTCTGGATTATGCTATTTTTTTTTAATGAAGAGAAAAATTCTAGAATTTTTCATTTATGATCCCAGATAAAAATTCAACAATTGGAGAGAAGGTTTCTATTGCTTCCGTCTTTCTTTCTAAATACAAAGAAAAAAGGTTTTGTTTTTCCTACTGTTAACTTAAAATTATAACCTTACAAGCCCCCCCCCCAAATGCTAAGTTGAAAAATCTGGTAGGAATGTTTAACCAGATGCCATATAGACTCCCATTATTTTTATTCTTTATTACTAATGTTCGCCCAATACAAGGCTGAAGACCCACTCAAGGTAGAGTTTTCCTGTGTGGTGTTGTATGTGCGTAAGAAAGAGCAAGAAGTGAAGTTCTGGGGGGGGGGCTATGCTTCAAAGTCATCAGCTTAACTTTAGACATGAAGACGGCAAGATATAATTAGTGAATATCATTTCAGACTTCACTTTCACACTTTATACAGGTTGTCAGAAAGTTTTGTCATCTCTACATAATATAATTTTACTTTGGATGGCCGACATGAGCTCTTACCTAGGTAAAGGGGGTGACAAGACTTTCGGACCACCCTGAACTTGTAAAAAGTTTTACATTACTAGTGCGGAAGTAGATTTTTTTTAGAAAGAACCAGAAACCCAATCCAAAACAGGGACAAACCTCTACTCCTGTTCAAAAGATCAAGGAGGAGTGTGAATTGTATGATTGGCAAACCTATCTATTCCTATTGGGAGAGGAGAAAAGGGAAAAAAAATTAATTAAGGAATAATATTTCAGAATTCAGACGGAGACATTAAAAAAAGTATAGAGTTGAAGTGAACCTTAGAAGGAACCAGAAACCCAATCCTAAACAAGGGATAAAAACCTCTATTCTGTTCAAAAGACCAGGGTCCTAACTCCATACTATTGTAATTAAATATAAATGGAGAGTGGGGTATATACGGTCAAATAGACTACTAAGTGACTACTTTATGAATTGAACTAGCAGCATGGCCCGGTGTTGCCCATGCTAGATTCAAAAATCGTACGACTCATACAGCAATCGCTATCACTTGACTTAAAATATTTTTACCCTTCCTTGCCTTTAAAGGAGTGCCTTTTGCCGTGCTGATGTTGCTACATGCCTTACTTCTTGCCTATCTCACACTGCAAATTTTTTCTAAGCTCTATACTAAACATTAAATCTGTTACTAAAAAAGAACTAAACTAAATGAACACAAAACAATCAGCTTTAAAAAAAGGACTTGTAACTGGAAAAACTGAATGAAAAAAGAATGTTAACAACAAATACTTTTTCACACCCAACCCAGTTCTGCAGAATCAGAATCAACATTTAGTTTAAGCAAGTGAATGAGCCAATTGGAGTAAAGTGCCATGCAGATTTAAATTTTCCCACTTGTGACGAATGCAGCTATTGTTTTTTTGCATGCTAGCATGCGAGTTAACATTTGTGTCAGTCAGCTGTTGGCTCTCACACTGGCCAGTAGAAAATGGCCGCAAACTACATGAAAACTGCTGTAGAAGCATGAAAAAAAATCGATTATTTCCACTATCGATGAGTGTTGGGAAATGTAAAGTCGGTCTTGGCCTTCCCACTAACTTGGAGCATGTGCATATAAATTTTGGTGCAAATCTGTTGAAAATTGCAGCCATTCATTCGTTACACACACACACATCCTGCCTTTTATAGATAGATATAATAAATATTTTATTGTTGCAATCGTTTTATACACTTGGCATAAGATATGACTGTTTTGATAATTAAATCTTACAAAGTCATGTAGCAAAAATGGAGACTTTAAAGACCTCAACTTTTGCTTTTTTTATTGCTGATGTTAAAACAATGTATTTTCAACAAAAGTTTAGTATAGATATTTACTTGACCCCCCCACACACACACACACACAGAGTCAGGTTTCGACACAAGGTCAGTTTTTAACGTGGGGACCCGAGTGTTTTCACTCAGGCCACTGGCCTTTTAGATGGTCATAGCTTGTCTAAGCTAGTCATAGCCGTGATACAACTAGCACAGGGATGGGCCCTGTGCCAGGTACCTTGCATTTCTTGATTGATAGATTCATTTTTATAATTTATCAACCCGTTGCAGGTTATTTAAAAGTAAAAGCATAAAGTATTTTTTTTTAGATTGTAAGAATTTTTTCTTTTTTTAATGATACAAATTTTACTAATTAATTTTGGTGATCATAAAGGAATCAACGTTTCAATGTGATATGGCTGTAAGCTTGCATACAAACATATGCAAATGTTACTTACTGCTTGGAACAAATATACTAAAACATTTGTGCACATCATTATGGTATCATGGTAAATGAGTCTTGCAGATCTATTACTACTGAGTAGTGAATTTGATCCTCACCAGGTGCCAAATCTAATTTATACTTAATAAAAAACAATATACTAGAAAAAAAAAAAAAGTCATTAGAATACAATATCTCATATTTCTTTATCTAGTATTGTAACTATTCACACTATTTACATTATCGTCCTCATCTTTATTGTCATATTCACAACATTTTGGCCATTGTATGCTCCGACCTTCTTCAGGTGATATACGTTGGAATTTCAAACTGGACCCTTTATTTAGTCCACTGGTGTACATTGTTCTAGTTCCACATGGCATGCCATTTCTGGATATCTCAGTTTCAGTTATTTCTCTTTAGTAACTCTCCAAGTTTTTTGTTCACTCCTGCTGTGGCCAGGTATTGAACACACAGCTCTTTGGATCAAGTCACTGGATTACTTGGAGACAGATGGCCCAGTGGATAAAAGCATTTATCAAAGTAATCCAGTGACTTAACCCAAAGAGTTGTGAGTTCAATACCTGGCCACAGCAGGAGTGAACAAAAAAACTTGAGTTACTAAAGAGAATTAACTGACACTGAGATACCCAAAAGAGGCATGGCACATAGAACAAGAACAGATGAGGAGTGGCACATGGAACTAGAACAATCTACCCCAGTGGACTAAATAAAGGATTCAGTTTGAAATTCCAATATATATCCCATATTTCTATTTACCAAATCAGGCAAACCAATTTGCACAACATATATAATGGTCTGAAGAATTTAAAAAATTTTTTTTATTTATTAATGCCATGTACTATTTATTCTATTCAGGAATAGGTAGTCATAACTCTTCAAATTTCTCATCTTTACATCCTTGAGAAAGAATGGTTTCCTGTTGCCTTCTCCACAGTTTGAAGCTCAAAGCCATCCTCACTACACTTGCTGCCACCCAAGGCTTGAAAGCCCATTCTACTCTATTTAACCCATAACTGGGGGAAGAAGATAAATTTATGTCTTTTCCCCAAGAGTGTTTGTGCAACAGATAAGACCAGAATTGGAACTTGGCTCACCAATTCTATATATCCTCAGTACAATAGGTGATGTGCAATTCAATTTTTTAAGAAAAAATTATATTTATCATTACCTTAGAACCTAAAAGGTAGGAGCAAACAAGCCAATTATAAATAGGGATATTTTCAGGAAAACACACAGGTAAAAAAAAAAAAAAAGAAAGAAAAAGTTACACACTTGCTTCTGTAATATGCTTAATAAACAACCACTAACCCTCTGTACAAGTCCTTTTAACTCCTATACTGATAATTAAGGCATCAGTATTAACAATTTAAAAATGGATTCATCCATGTGTGAAAGAGATAGTATAGCATAGCTATAACAGCCACAGGATACAGACAGGATTTAACACAGTTGGGACCCAAAAGATGGGGCTGTATCTCCAAGGTCAAGGTTTATCTTAGAGCAAGAATAGAAAGATATATTTGAAATATGGGAATTTCAGAGAGAACTTTGCAATACCTGAAAATAGGGCATCCACAGAAGATGCAAGAATGAGACCACCACCAACAACATATAAAAACAAAAATGAAAGAGGACATTGCATCAAATCCTATCCCCATTTTGTTTTGCAGCTCAAAGCACTGTACGGCATACACTACATTGTGGGGTTTTATAGTCCTTGACCAACCAAAGTACTATAATTAACATCATAACCTTAATTACTGTACTTCACTGGGATCATTAAACTCTGCAAGACTACTAGTCTCCTAGTGAAAGGAGGCACATTTCTAGCTTTTTTTTTTTTTTTTTTACAATAATGCCCACCCAAAAGCCACTTGAGGTAGAGGGTTACAAAGTAAGGGATACAGTTTATGGAGATATGTTAGGAAGATAACAGTTAAGACTAGATTTGAATAGGCCATGATTGTAATGATTGAGAAAGCATTCTCTTCAGAGTCGGTTAGAAAACAGCCAAAGTTAGATTCTGGAATTGTATAAATAAACATTCTGTCATTCTCCCTGACCACAAAAAAAAAAAAAAACGCATTTATATAAAGTTTTCCCTTCTCAATGATTTTTTTCTTCCACAAATTTGAAATTTGTACACACACTCTTTTTCTACTATTTAATTATCTCACACACACACACACACACATATATATATATATATTTACAATAAAGTTTACCTATACAAGGCCCAAGAACCACTCAAGGTAAAGGATTAAAGTGTAAGCAGTGCAGTGTATGAGGACCTTTAATTTGAAGGGGTTAAGATTTTATTGAACAGGGAAGCATCTTCTTGGGAGTCGTTTCCACAAAGTAGTGGTTTGTGAGAAGAA